GGGGTGGATTCGTCTATTTTTGCGTGAGGAGCTCTACGCTGCGTATAAAGAGCTTTCAATGAGGGAAGAATCTGTTAGTTAAGCAAGTGTGGATAACTATCATGCATGTATTATATTTTTTATCAATCTTTAAGAAATCACTTCCCAAGCTATCCTTTAGATACACTTTTGATAACCAGTACGGAGTAGGGAGTGTTTGTATAAATGGAATTGCCTACATCTGCTCAAACTTTTTCATAGCCTCTGTCTGCGTCTTTTGTAACAACAAACGTTCGACAGGTAGTTTACTAAAGGTGGTGGGGGTGGGGCAAAAACTGAACGGGTGCACGGGAAAACCGAGTCAAACGCTGATGCGACGCTGAATGAACCATTACAGCTCCCCCAGGCCTTGAAAAGGGACATGGGTTTCTACATATAGAAATCCGTGTAACGACATGCAGCGAGTCATTTCAGTTGACGTCTGCAGCTGTGCATGTGATGATGATGATGAGCAATAATCATGATTTATCTTCCCGGGGCTTTCTGGCAATCACCAGATCAGTTCTGATCTATGAAAGAGTATCATTTATGATTCCTTTTGCCTGTTTGCTATCAGCCACTGACCCGGCTCTGCTGACATTGGCCTCTTGGAGGATTACTCAATCAAGTACGACTCTAAATACTCAGAAGCCAATGATAACTATAAATAATAATAATAAATAAAAGCTCAGCCTGAAATATCCATGTTGTGGTAGGTCTGATAAGCACAAATTCATCTCAAGATATATCTATCTATATATATAAAACATATATATACCTTGTCTTTTCCTCTTTTGTTACTATATCCGCCGGTAGCGAGGAACTTGACTTCCTCTTTTTGGTAAAGGACAGGCCGGACGCCGGGAATGGAAATGTGTACATGTGGCAAAGCACTCTCCAATTCAAGTAGATATGTTTTCCTCCTGCATGAAAATGTAAAAAGGGCGAATGCGACTGAATGGTCTGAAAGGGGCCCATATGACCGAAGGATGCTTCGTTCGTGGGGGAGTGGCCCTAGCCACTGATTATTATATCAGGTTGCATAATGAGGAGAATCCATATGATAGTGCGTCAGAAGCAGTTCTTGTCCGTACGTAGCCTTGGATGGAGGGGAAACCCGCTACTAGAAATTTCCGGTAGGCAAGATGCAACGATTAAAAAGTTCGCCCATTGATCTTCAGAAATATCTCGAGCTCTCTCTGGAAAATTTCTGCCTGATGCTGAAGGACCTTATTGGCAAATCATATTGGATATATCAAGCTGGTGAGGAGGATAACCAGGGGGACCTTTTCACGTTGGGGTGAGGAGAGTGGGATTGGAGCATCAATGATTTATATAAGTTGTACCAGGGAAGGGAGTGTTGAGACAGGGACTTGCTCATGAGCAACGTATTATCTAGGCCTAGTATGGAGTGTCACATATGATAAAATATTACTTCATCCCCAAAGGCCATACCAACCAACTCGTAATCCCGCAAAGACGCCTTTTTGATACAAGCTTTTTGGCCAGTCCAAAGAGGAAAGTTTCATCACCTTCTTTGAATGAGCGGCTCCAACACCCTAGTTTCTTTTTAAGTCAAAATAAAGGCTCCTCCCGGAGCCAAGTCTAATTCCTTTGACTCCATCCCACATTTCATCAGTGGGTGTGATGGCGTTTGATTTTTGTTGAGTTTCTGATCTCAATAGTGTTTTCCTTCTCATCGCCATCGACAAGGCGGTCGCTAGGAAGCATGACGGCGCGATCGAGTTGGGATGGTAAACCTCGATGACGGCCGCGTAACATCATGGCGCACATGATCAATTTGCCAAAGGCGCTGAATTTTTCCGGATAGGGATGTGTTGATGCCGGGGATACCGAGACTGAGGCCGACGTTTCCACTTGGGTAATTTTAGTAAGGAAAGGAGAAATGTCGTTACGAGAAGGGAACAACGAAGGGAAGAAGAACCCGCTGTACTTACTAGCCAGATGTTACTTCGAACAAAATCGCGAAAACAGAAAATGCCTGTTATCGATTAGCCTGGAGAACTCTCAATTGAGAGCGAAATTGAAGGAAGGTTAAGGAGAAGTTTGCAAGCCAGAAAGAGGCAGAAAAAAGGGGGAAAAAAAATTATACAACTCTCACCGGTTCATTAGGATCCACGATCTTTTTCGACTCGGAAGCGCAGATGCAAAAGAAACCAAGGAAAATATACCATAAATCGAACGTCAGTTGGTTCTTGATATGGGCCAAGATGTAAGTTTTGCCGTGATATTCATCCAACTCACGATCCTGTGGGTATATCCCCAACGCCCGTTGTTCATACGTGTTGGACGCACGCGTTGAGAGTGCGATGGGAAAAATAGCGATGTACATCATGACCAATATGCTGACTTGGACAGCGGGGTTTACATTTGCTAGGTTGAATGACGCGGTTCCTGTGTGTCGTGTGGACGCTGCTTGGAATAACGAAGCCAGAATTCGCTTTCCCCAGGGTAAATCGTTAACAGCTGGATTGTGGAGGTCCAAAGTTATCATCAGAATTATATCCACGAAGTTCATGACAAAAAGGACCGCAAAGAGAGCCCAAGTTGTTCCACTTGGGAAAAGATGAGTGTAACATCGACGAGGATGCTTCAGAAGGAAATTGAGCTGCTCCTTCAGCGGTGATGTTTTCGGGACTATTAGGGACATCGTCCAAATTATAAAGCGGAGGAAACAGGGGTAAAATGTGTTTCCGACATAGGCAAGGAAGCTCATGAGTATCATCGGCCATTCCGCGTCCCGGAAGGAAAACATCGAGTCGGGAGTAAGTGTGAATCCAAGATTACTTATCATCGTCTGCGATGAATAAAATGCCCTGGAATTGCGTTAAGGGATCTGTTGAAATTTCCGCACTTTTTACTTGAGGAAATCTACTCACCACCACACAGGGGACTGAGCGCACTCTTGTAGATACTTCCGATATTTCGGATCCGAATGTAGGATCCAACGAAGCAAACGTACCGCGCCAAAGAGGTGAAGGCTGAAGAAGTATACTTTATCCGTCAGTTCATTCGTTACACCATTCGCAAATAGTAATAGATGTAAATCACCAGTGACGATTTTGAACAACAATTTCAGACTACGATACTCGATCCCGCCCAACGTTTCTCGATCCTCGGCCGTTAAATTGCGAAACTGAGAATTGGGCCCTAAAGCTGCGTGAGAGGACAACGGTAGATGCAAATGCTGTGAAAGAGAATGTTGAAGCGGCGGCTGTTTTTGCCTCGTACTAGGCCTCCCCTCAAGCACGAAGATAGATGAAGCGACTCTCTCAAGCGTGGTAGTACTAGTAATGCGAGAGCTACCCATTATCTTTCGACGTGCGGGGAGCGATCCTCTAACATTGGAATCGTTTGTCTTCGTGATTTCATCGTCGTCACTAAATATTTCGTCAATTTCTACCATTGGTCTCCCTATTTCTCGCAAATCAGTACTACATATTGTATTTTCATGACATTTCTGGAAAACGATCTTACCCCTGTCACGCTCCTGCGGAGGCGGCACATATAAGGCTTTTGATTTATCGTAGCCTCTCACATCAGCTGCGAATGATATGCTTCTACCGGTTGGTTCGGCAGTTTGAGCCTGGGGCTTATCTGTTTCGTTCGTATGTTCACCAGTCGATATCCTAAATGAACATGTTAGTTGGAGCTTGGCAACTGTAGATGCGATCACAGGGCAATCGACTTACACATTTAGGGCAGTAGCATCAGTTATATGCTGATCGTTGCTAGTATATTTCTTCCCATTTTCGAGGGGTTTGTAGGCCTTGGCTTCTACATCGTGACGATGTCGAACCTGAGTGGGAGCTATTCCTAGTTCAGTGCCTGTAGAATACCTTGACTCGGAGAAATCCCAAAGCGATAATGGGCCATATTACCGATCTCATCGAGTCGTTTTCTGAACCAATGCAAACGCACAAGGACTACTGCAATGTTTATGAATGCATGGTGGGAGATAATGGGAATGACATAAATGAACAGTTGCTGATAGGTTTTCAGATCCTTGACGTCGTAGCTAGATATAAACGTTCATCCTTAGTAAGTCAATTAAATCATGCGACTATATCCAACAAACTAACAAATCGGAGGCAGCGTTGGCTCACGTATTAAGACCAGATTCTGTACAGGACGAGGCTCCGAAGAAATATGCGTCGATTGCTTTCAGATTCCCATAAGGATATAGAACGACTAAGGAAAAAATGCTCAGTGTGACAATGTAAGCATCTAGTGACAGGTTGACAGTAAGTTAGTCCAAATATCAATGCCATTTCCAGGTCCAGGAATGAGAGCCAGCGACGAACAATGTATGGTGATGAAATTTAGCGGCGGCTTCCACATGGTGGCTATGAAAGGTGTTGTTGGGCTTCCTATTGTTTGGCTCGAGAAATTCGAATAGAAGAATGGCCCAGACAACACGGCGCAGACACAGACACACAGACACAGACACAGACACAGACAACGAACGAAAGAGGGAGCGGACAGACCCCCGTAATGAGTGATTTATACCGGCCATACTGGCTTCCTTTCCCCTCGAGATAGTGCTCTCCTAACTATGCGGGATTTTTGGACGAATCGAAGAAAGGGCTAAAAGTGTTTGGAGCTTCTCGAGTCGTCTCAAACAACAGGAAAGGGGAGTCGAGGCTGGGCCGTATTATGTATATCCTTCCATAACCATCACACAGTGGACATACCATTTTCAGGCATTGTTGAAGTTGATGGTGGCTGAGGGGTGTTGCACTGACTTTCTCACAAAGCTTGCTTCTTTAGCCCAGGAGATACTAGCAATCACTAGAAGTGAAGGAAAAATCCGCGGCTATTTTCTCGATTCTGTTGGTGGTCCCTGATAAGCCCAGATTTGAGAAGCATATCGACACCAATTACACGATGACTCTTCTCACACGCGTCGACGGGAGGACCCATGGAAGAGGGCACGGCATAAGATATCGCAGCCTGTGATGAATGTGCACAGCTCAGGGAATAAAATGCGACAGCTCCAGCTCTGCCCCCTTGTTACAAGGGTGAAGTTCGTTAGCAGCGTTCAGCTGCAAGGGTTGGAGTAGCTTACTGGAGGGAGTTAGGGCACGGCTCACCATGTGGTAGCTAGCTAGCTACATAGTGGCTCAGTCGTTGCGTGTCCAAGCTGTAGAAAAACTTCCTAAGCGTGATGCAACGTGGAAACCCCACCGAGAGTTCTGATTTCATTTCACCAGAGAGCATAGAGCTCTGGATGAGCGATCCGCCCCCTTATGGTGTATGGGTTGGGAACATGAGCTTAACAGATTCGAAAGGATGAAAATTCACTCACCCAAATGCCGAAATCAGGGGATAGCAAAAGGATTTTATAAATAAATGTATATAATAGTTAGCACAGAGTAGGGAGCATAAACATACAAGAAAAAAGTGATTAACGAGCCTGCTCCACCGAAAAAAAGGCCTTCTTAAGACGCCATCCATCGCAAAAGAAAGGAACAAACTAAAGTCATCCACCCAGAAAGCCGGACTCTATATGTGAAGAAAAGAAAGAGAATCTCTGTTTGAGCGATCTAGATGGACAGAGAAGAAAAAGAAGAAGAAAAAGGAAGAAAAAAATCACCGCAAGTCTCTCATTCTGATTTGATTCCCTTTTCCTCTCTTGGAATATCCGGCTTATCATCCGAACCAACTTTATCCCAAGCCGATAGCCCAGTGATGATAGTCATTACTATACGAAAACGCCATATTAATTTTTACCGGCCATTTATTTTTCTTTTTCGTCATGGATTCCACGAATAATTCAATTTCAACGGTGCTCTCAGCCCATCCTCCCTTTCGCTTCTCCACCGACTCTTCCACTCCCACTCCCGGACGGCTGCTTCGCGGTAGGCAATCTGGCATTCACGTGGCAGCTCTGCAAGCACCTCGGGACTGGTGTGGAAGAGAGGAGTGTTCCTGCCAAGCGATATGCTAATTAACCCATTCGAACCTATATCTCGTACATCTCCATCTGGGCCGGGAAGACCCAACGAGGACTCTGGTGGCGTTTCATAGTATATGTCTTGGATTTCAAAGTTGCGGCTGAAGATAGCAGGTACAGAAGGGAATATTGTGGATGAGGGTTTGGTGGATTTGTCCGTTTCAACTTGGCCGGGAAGGTCATTGGACGTTCGCTCCTTCCCATCATCAACTGAGCTTGCTGGTGTCCCATCCGTGACGCCAAGGGCAGCTGTTGAAGCACTGCTGATGAGCTGTGATCTATCTGCCCGTGTTGATTCTGGCGGTGGGATAATTTCCCATCGAACGTGGGTGGATTGCATGATCCTAGGATATTGCATGATGTTTGTGTGGATGTCGTATTGGCCATCAAGATTTTCGCGGCGAGCTGCGAGGAGTGTAGAATTGAACCGACTGTAGATTATTGGTTAGAATTAGATTTTGATAAAAAATATATGTAAAACGAAGCGGACGAAGGTCGAGCCATGGCAATTTACCTTGCTTCCCTGGCATGCTCAATCATCCAGTTATCCCCCGTTACAATCACCTTCCGTTTCTTGGGATCTACAGTCTTTCCCATTGGCATGGGTACTGAAGGAGCCCCGGAATGATAAACACTACTTGCACCATGCCAGGCAACATAGCGATTCTTGTCATATGTTTCTCCAGGGCCTGGCAGCTTGTCCTCCGGCACAGCCAATTCACCCTCCACGTCCCCTCGTTCCCTGGCGGCTTGCGCCGAATAGTCATCGATGACCTTGCGCCCCCCAATAATTATCTTGGCTCCAAACTCGCGAAATACTGATCGCGCCGTCACCACACCGATAGCGCGCCCCTTGTATGAATGCGGTATAAGGTCTCTCTCTATCAAATCACGCTTCGCATCGTCGTCAATGATGATCTTAAAAAGCAGCCGGTGCTTCTGAAAAAAAAGATAAGAGTCCCGAAATCCAATACAACGCGCCGGCTCCGTCGACAGCATGTAGAGTCTCTCCCCTTTATTAAGAATCGTAAACGTCCGCACGCGATATTCGCGCCCGCCCAGAAGATTACCCAGTTTATCGACCTTCGTCTCCCCCTCAGGATCTTCTGGGAGGTCAACCTCATCGTTGATAACATCCATCATGTTTCCTTCTTTATCGATCGGGACCTGGGTGACGTGGGAGGGGCCTCCTTTGGCCCGTCCCCATCGTCCACCCGCCGATGGGCGGCCTCGTCCCCTTCGTCGGACGGGAGTACTAACTTCTGACCGTGCTTCGCCAGCGCCATCATCCACCACTGGGGCTCTAATTTTTGGTGGGCGACCGACCCGACCACCGCGCTTTCTGGGGATAGCAGACACTCTGCCTGTGCGCATAGGGGTATTTGGCGTGGCTGGCGATGGACCGTCCGATTCTTCCCCTTGTCGTTCCGACTGGGATTCCGCCTCCTGTTCTTCTGTGACAGGAGTTTCATCTTTCTCCTTTGGGGTATCATCATCGGCATCACGAGGAGTGGGTGAGTTTGACGGGGCGGCATCCGGCATTTCTTCGTCGACCTGTTGCGGCGCGGCTCCTGTGAAACAAATATTGCAGGGTGAGAATGATATTCTTTATTTTTTCTGTCACGATCGCTTTTTTCTGCAAATTTTTGGGGAAGGGGATACTGACTCAGCGATTGCGCAGCTGCTTGAGCTGCTGCTCTCTGTTTTCGCGCCATAGCGTTGTTGAGCGCAAGGAGATATGCTCAACTATTCAACACTGGAATAGATAGCTCATCTTTTTGCGCGACTGGACCACTTAGGTTACAAGTTCTCTGACTGTTGGTTTTCGGAGCTCTGGTTTCGCCGACATTATTATCACGTGATATTTGCGTCGAAATTGCTACGGCCACCATTGGAGCAAAAGAGCTCAATCACCACCATCAACTGACTAAATCTCGAACATGCATCTTAAAAAAAGGTCCCAGCATTCGCAATGGCCTTTGAAGATCGGAAATCCAACTACTACGTAGGCATACGGTCCCGTATTAGGGTATCAGGGGTCGGATGGAGGGATTTGTGCGCTCAATTAAACAGCAAACAGAAATTTTAATACTATAACGCGGGAGCATGGGAGATTTTGCGGATGAATTAACAGATTAGTCGGGCTTCATGAAGTTGATAGAGGAGGGGGAAAAAAAGCTGCTGTTCCAAACATCATCCTGATGAGTTTGAGTCCCAGTTTTTCAAATGTTAATAAGAACTTCGTTCATGCGTTGAGACTGTGTATGCACATATTTCATAGGCCGGGAAAGCTTTATGCTTCCGCCAGGAACTTGTCTAGAACTCACTACCTCCATCTCGCTTTTCCTTCCCTCGCACCCTGCTGGCCCCTCCCCAACCTTTTCTTTTTTGATATTTAGTTTCATGTGATACACTCTTTTCATTCCTAGCTGCATATTCCCCTTTTCTTCACTGTCTTCCCCTTTCTTGGTTTCAAAAACAAAAGTGGCTGGTCTTAATTAATGTTCGCATAACGAAAATTCCAAATATTCCATCGCCTCGCGCTGCTCTTCAACAATCGCCTTCCTTTCCCCCATAAGTTCTAACCGCAGCGCCGCCGCATCCTCCATCGACATCAGATAGTCGTCCAGATGAGACAAAACTTCACCGGATAGCTCAGGAGGGAGCCGGCCCGTGACGTGTTCCCAAGGCACCTGTTCCTCCCACCAATCGCGCCTCTGGCACGGAACGTTGGCAGAGGAGATGATGCGGATATTGGGGTCGACCAGGAACAGCGCAAGGATTTTCCGGTGGCCGGGCTTGGAAGGATCTTCGAGCTCGAATGGCGAAACGCGGTGCTGGAGGATGTTGGGAAATGTTAAGAGTCGGCCTTGTTTACAAACTACGTCGCCGATCTCCTGGATAGCGGGGCCGCCGTTCTCGCATCCGAACACGGCTGATAGCCACTCGTGCCGGTTTTGCTCGTACTGTATCTCTTGGCCGTCTTCCACATCGCATAACTGGCGGAAGGCAAGGTGGCTTTCTGTGATGTTGTCGCTGTCATAGTAATATAGCGCGGTAGCGCATATGTGTTCATTCTGAAATAGTTTATCAGTGCCATATCTATCGATGCAAAAGAAAGAATGGACCTCCATAAAACGCGAGGATTCTTATTGCATGGCAATACATACTGATTGCCCTTCAACATGCCATGTACCGCCATGGTATTTGGGCTGTTCCGGGGTAAGATGGATGTTGGCAAGTTTTACAATAACTTGCAGACCAGTGCTTCCATAATCCCGCTGCAGGTTGACGAGAATGTCTTCGTTTGGAGGAGAGAATTCGGCATCTGGCTCAGGGAGTGTAGGTTTTTGAGCCTGTTCTTCCCATTCACTTAGACGGTCGTAATAATCATATTCATTGTCGTAGGATTTCCGTTCAGGTTTTGGAACAGCTGTTACAAAATCGTGATCAACATCCATTTCGCAGGAATCATATGGTATTCGCACATAGTTTTCGGCCTTCGTGTACCGTAGTGTGTTATTCCACAATGGAACAGCACAAGAGATAACCTGCTCGATTACTCTATATAACTCTTGGTGCCTCTTTGGGTGCAAATTGTTTATATAGCTAGTGATCTTGCACCTATTGCCATTTTGGCCATTTTCGTTAGCGACCGATGGTGTTGAATTTCCAGTGAGTTCCACGTCACAGGGAAGCCACTGGAATTTCTGGCTGTAAGGATTTAGTAGGTAGCCATGCCATCCACCCAAAGCTGACAAAGCTTTAAGCTCTTCCTCCGATGGGATTTTAATAATTTCGCCGCATCCTGCTCTAGCGATACCTTCGTGAATTCCTAGAACGCCATCTGTGATAATACGAGTCTGCCCATAAACCACCGGAAACAACGAGGGATGCACTAGGTCAAGGACCTGGTTGTCTGAAAATGGATGATAATCCTTTTCGTTATCTGGAATATCTTCTAAGTGGGCAGCAGCGGCTTTGAGCGTGTTCCGGAGAGACTCTGAGACTGCAGTATCTGACTTCACAACACCCGCGTCATAGACTAAGACTTGCCCGCTCCTTTCAAAGTGCTCTGCTTTGAATTGCAGCTCATCGATGACCCAATCCATCATTTTATCTGACACATCCATATCCCTATGCGCCATCACCTCCTCTCTCCATTTGTTGGTGGTGTCTAATGAAAATATCTAGATATGGATAAAAAATCAACAACAGCCAACTGTGAGTTAGTCGAGGTCGGGCGAATAGCTTCGTCGCGTCTGTATAGATAAAAGTATAGTGTAGATATCAATGAAAAAAAAAAAAAAAAAAACTATGACGAGGATAAACGGGCGAAGGTATAGGGACAGGGATGGGTTGTGGAGATGTCAATGCACCTTCTTTTCCCAACCAGGCTTGTCAGTTATAGTGTTCATGATCTGAAGCATTGCGAACTCTCGAATAGGGGTAAGGCGTTGCCTTTACCAGCCATGTCAGTTTCATGATCAGAATAAGGTAAGAGCAATTGGTGCCCTGGGGGGAGTGGAGAGGGGATGTAAATACTTAACGTGATCTCCTTCGAAGGTCCGTAGGTCTAACATAGACGGGAATATACTAGGCCCGCTCGACTTCTTCGGCGTATTCGTGACATAGCCTTTAGCAAGAGTTGCCCTCCATGATGCTGCGTGGTTCAATTTGATGCCAAATCCAGGAAGCCTCAGAGGGTGAGGCTTAAGTTGGACATCCATGGTTTCGGTTGGAGACGTTTTTTTCAAGTTGGTTTTTACGATGATATGATTGTAAATGAACGGCTCGAAAGAAAGAAGTATGAATGCTTGATTCAAGGAAATGGAATAATTCCAGAATCGTTCAAGGCCAATTGGGAGGTGTATTGCAATGAAATACTTTGTGGAAAAGTGGTGCTGGGGTTGTTGCAGGTACGAGTGCGCGGGGAAGCATCAGTTGCTGGACGCCGCAATCACACCAACCAAGCTCCAGAGCCTATCGTCCTAACAATCCGGTTCTCACCTAGGCAAACAAAAGCGTTTTTGGGCAAAGAATTTGAGTTTTCGGTTTTTGAAGCCCTGATATCTGCCTACCTTGGCGTCAACTGAAAGGAACTACAATCATCCAGAGCTTCGAGTCAAAGACTTTGCAAAGACGAGAGTTTCTTCAGAGAAATTGAGAAAGCCGGCATTATTGGCACAGCAGAATTCGAAGAGTATTGCCATCATAGTCTTGGATGTCCCAAAAAAGGTTGAGGCGTATGTTACCCCGCTGAAATAGATGTCAATGTGGCCTCATTGGAACGTCTTTCGCCTGAGTTATCGTGGGTCTTCCCGAGGCGAGTTGTTCGTCACGTAGGATGCAGAAAAACGAAAATACGCCATCATATTCACCATGCAATAAACAGTCTAGATCTTCAATTTCCAGTTCCAGTGTGAATGAGTACCGAGAGGATATTTGCTGTGGTTTAAATTACTCATGACTAGGCATTGAAGCCCACGAAAACTCATAAGAATAATGTACTTCGAAACATACATATTGCCCCAAGTAATTATGTGATTTGTGAGGGATTCGAAACCAAATTTCTTTTCAATATCTCGAAGCTGCGTGCACAGAGGGAGTATGTACGTCGCCCAATACATTTCCTGAAGCTCTGTGGTGCTGGGAATCAGGGATAATCAATGTAGCTGTTTCTCCACTTATCATCCAACTCCCGGCAGCCAAATCAGTGGCTAGTGGCGAATATATAGATCTCTTTCCCTGCTCAGGTGGTGATACGTGAAAGTCCTGATTGTGATTTTAAAAATTGCCAAACAGAAAACCCATACGTATGTAATCTCGACGCCCACAGATCAGCAGCTGTTGGAAGTGGCGTTCTCGGAGCCTGAACTGGTTGGCAACTGAGGCCTGCCCCGTTGTGGCGGGGCGGAGGTTAAGACGCCTAGCACAGCTGTTTGGAGCAGGAGCTGATTATTATTCCATGCAGAATTGCGACTTGGGCTGGGCGAAAATATGGACCCTGCGATGCTGCGTAGTCACAAAATGAGGGCGGTTAATGCGTAAATGCCATTTAATAAACAAACTATGCCCTAAGCTTTCTCAATGGTTCCAGGGATATATCCAATGAACCGACATATCGCCCAAGGCAAGGCGTAACCACAAGCACGATTGGAGCGGGGCCAACAGCTTGAGCCTTGAAGTTGCCAGAAGCAAGCTGGGCCTGGAAGGCTGTTGGTCCGCTAGGTCATGGCCTGGTAGCTAATCGCCCGACAAGACCCTGAGACCACTGAGACGAATGACATTTCCTCAATAATCTCACACTTCGCAGCCGGGAAGAAATGGATACGGATAGTACGAAGTTTGTTGGTGAAAGCTGCCGTTCTCCCCAGCAATTGATGGGGATTGCTAGGCTCCCAGCTGGCTAGGAATGTGACCTCTGGATCTCTGTCTGATATGACTTCGTCAGGCTAGCAGCGGCTCATCAGTTGGTAGGACGGAGCTTGGATCCGTGGGAGAGACATCGAGGAGGCGCCATCCGGAAGCTCTAACTTAGAAGAGAGGCAGGACGAGGACGAGCAGGCGGAGGAAGAAAAGAGGCTGCAGGTTTGTCGCCTCCCCCTCTTTTCCTTCCACGGCAGCAGCAGTTGGCGGTTGGCGGTAAAAGAAGAGGTTGGAGGTCGGATGTTGGAAGCTGCCCACTTAACTCCCTTCTCTTTCTCCTTTCTCCTCATGTGCTTGATGTTCGGGATAGCCCTTCCTGTTTGCTTCTTCCTGCCTTCTGCTAACGCCTCCTCCATTTCTTCTTCTT